CCACCCACGTGCTGACTGTATTTGAAGCCACTAAATCATATGCTTAAAAAATAGCTAAAAGGGCCAATTTTATGGCATGCGTATTTTGCCACGATAGAGGACTGTGTGTAGCCGATCTGCAAGAGGCCACTACTGGGTTCTGGCAGGTTCTGGCGAGGCTCAGAGCCACCGGGGCTGCCGCTCACCGCTGGTGGGACAGCAAAAAGGCACGGCTGCTCACTCTGCAAGACGGTGTTGCCGAAAGATCCAGCCAAATCCAACTCCTGCGTGCTGCCTGGAGGCGATCGGAAGTGTGTGTTCACACATGAGCTTGGACACCAGTGTGTCTAGCGGCTCTGTTCACCGTCGCTTCAGGCTGGAAACAACCCTCAGGTTCTTGAGCGAGCACAAGGTGGCCCCTCCGTGCAGCGGGTCACTGCTCAGCGGTGAAAAAGGGCGAGCTGGGCACGCAACCACATGGGTGACACTCAGGGGCATTATGCTGCCGGGAGGAAGCTAATCTCAAAGGTCACAGACTGTGCGATTCCATGTAGAGGCTGTTCTGGAAAAGGCAGAACCGTAGGGACGAGGAATGGGTTGGGGACGGCCAGGGACGTGGAGGGGCTAGCTGCAAAGGGACAGTAGGGGGAATCTGGGGGCTTGGAATTCGACGGTCCCAGTGACACAGGTGTGTGCATGTGCACGACTCTCAGAGCCGTGTGGTATCCCTCATTCAGTTATGTGACAGGTTTAAAAAGAAAAAAAAACAGCAACAAAGATTGTGACAACGTTATTGTGTAGGAATCCTTAGGACACCAGACAAGTTGGCCTGACCATTCTCATTTTACAGATGAGGAAGCTGAGGTGTCTGGAGGTGCCTGGGCGTGTCTGACTCTGGAACTCACGCTTCTATCCCCTGCGCAGTTCAGAGCCTCCACGCATCAACTACTATGTTCATGCCGTGATTCCTTTTTATTTTATTTTAAAATTTTTTAATGTTTATTTCTGAGAGAGAGAGAGAGAGAGACAGCGTGAGCAGGGGAGGGTCAGAGAGAGAGGGAGTCACAGACTGAAACAGGCTCCAGGCTCCGAGCTGGCAGTCAGCACAGAGCCCGACGCGGGGCTCGAACCCACGAACCGCGAGATCATGACCTGAGCTGAAGTCGGACACTCAACCAACTGAGCCACCCAGGCGCCCCTCATGCCATGATTCCTAATGTTGAGAGCTGGGTGTGGGCAGCAGGACTCACTTCGTGGAGACCGAGAAGATGCCCTTGGCCTCTCCAGGGGTCAAGTGTGGGCCGGGACACCTGACAGATTACCAGGGGGACAGCCGAAGCAGAAACGTCAGGGGACGGATGGCTCGGCGTCCCGGGACAGCCAGAGCCGTCGGGGCGCTGGGCCCACAGAGCGGCTTCCTAGCCCCACGGGCTACCACGGGCCCTGCCGACAGGGCAGCCCCCAGCCAGGGCCCTCCGCACCCCCAGGGCGTCGAGGAGGAGGTGCTGGCCAAAGAAGGTCTCCCGCAGGCTCGCCATTGGGCAGGGGACCTGGGGGCGCTGGAGACAGTGAGGCTGCGTGGGGTGGCAGGGGGACCCTAGGCCTGGCTGAGATAGGTCTCAGCCAAGGGGAGAGAGAACAGTCACATCAGGATTAGACACAGGACCCTCCAGACGGCCAGTTAGAGCTGTAGCCCGACGCATTGGGGGCCCGTGGGTTCTGCCCCTCAGCCCAGAGGCCCTTTGCCCAGCGGGGAGCCCAGCGGTCAAGGGCTTCTTCTGTCCCTGCCAGCCTCCTGACGCTCCCCCACCCACCAGCGTCAGCCTGGCCCCGGGGGCTGCTGTACTCAGAGCCTTGAGCTACACGGACCCCAAACTCCTTGCTCCGGACCCGCTAGAGGCTGCCGGATCCTCCAGGAGTCGGCCCAGTCCCTCCCGGCTGGAGGGTCGGCAGACCCCGCCCACATGATGCTTCAGACCCGGGTTGCCTGCGCCATCGCAAACAGCCCTCCCAGTGCCAGCACCGTGTTTCAGGGGAGGAAGCAGGGCCCACAGCGTCTGGGCCACTGAGTGACCCAGCCAGTCTTGGGGACAGCAGTCTGGGCCCAGAGCCCTGCTCTTGACCCAGCTTCTGCTGCTGCCCCAGAAGGTTGGTTTCCTTCATCCTTTGGGTGGCCCCAACCTTCTGCAAGCTTGGTGGGACCCCCCCCCTGCCGTGGGGTGCCGGGGGGGGGGCCCGGCCTCCCTGCCCACGGAGCCTCTCCAGGCCTCAGGCAGCAGGAGGCTCTCACATCCCCAGCCTCCCTGGGCTGTCTCTGAAGTACACGCTGTCCTCCCCCCCACCCGGTTTGCCGGTTGAGCTCCACTCACCTCTCCCCGCCCGACTTCCGCGCTCCCCCAGCCTCCTCCCATTTGTTCCCCACCCCGAACCATTGGCCTTTGTTTACGTGGCCTGTCCTTCCCCCCAAAATGCCCGCATCCTGCTTTGGGGGCAGCCGCTGCATTTTGGGTGCCTCTGGCCAAAGGCCATCTGGGAAGGTCTCCTTGACTTCCTATCTACCCACCAGCCGGGCTGCCTGTCCCCCCAGACAGAGAGCTGCCCGAGGCCAGGGACCACGTGCGGCCAGCCTCGTATCCGTGTCTCCCTCCACACCTCCCGGCAGCACCGGGGGTGCCAGTGGGGGAGTGAGGGCTGGGTAACCAGCTTGACAGGAGAGAAGAGTCATTGCAATGGCTCAGCTGAACCCAGTGCGCTTCTCCCGCTGTGGGCATGGGAGAGACCTGTGCTCATTTTCTTTAGTCACAAAAGCGGGGCACTGCTTGGAGGAATGTGGGTGACCTGCGAGCAAGGTCGACAGCGGCCCCTGCGGTCCTTCTGGGCGCCCCTCGATGGCTTCTGCGTCCTCCAGAGGCTCCGCTCTGGAAGACTCTTTGTCCCCACACATAGCTTTGTCTTACAAAAATTCTGTCACCCTGTGCCTGTTCTTCCATTGCTTTTTTCTCTCTCAAAACGTCATGAGCGCCCCTCCCTGGCACGGCCTCCCCAGCTACCTCATTCATTTGGTGGCTGCGGAATGTTCCAGTATCCGATGGAGCATGACTGACTCGCCTCTTCCCCTTGGGGTGGACATTTGTCTCCAGTTATTTCATCCTCATAGATAACGTCTCCGTGAACACCCTGTCTCCAGGGAGCGATCCCTGGGGCATCGCTGCAGGGTGTGTGTTCTAAGCAGGCGCGGGGGGCTGTCCTCCATCTGCGTCCCCGGGAGCACCGCCTCCATCCGTCCAGTGGTCCTCCACCTGCCTCCACCTAGGAGGGTGACCTCCCCCGCCCTCACAGTCTCTCCCACTTTGGTCCCCAACGGCTTTAACGCGAGCCCCTGAGGCTGATGGGGAATCCAAGTCGGGGGCTGGAACTATCCAGAACCATCCACACTCCACCTCCTCTGGCCCAGACAACCACACAGCCCCAATTTCCAGCCTGCCCCCGCTCCCCCAGGGAGAAGCACAGAGGGTGAGCACCCGCACCAGCTGCCCCCCGGGCCGTCACCCCAGGCCTCCCCGGCCGCCTCGGAGAAGACTGGGCTTCGTTCCCTGCAAACAAGCTGTAGCCTGGGGGGCTGGCGGGTCTATTTAAAGACCCCAGAGGGAAGGGGTGGGCAGACAGAGGGGCACCTGAAGCTCCTCGGGACGGAGGGAGCCCGCCTGCCGCTGGTGGGGAGAGCGGCCGGGCACAGACTTGGACATTGGCCCTTGGCGTTTCCCCGTGTCAGCTTTTCTATTTTAGGCGGCTGGCTCCTCCGTTAGGCGATTCGCAGCCCGCCTGGGAAACCCAGAAAGGCGGGTGCTGGGGGCCCGGGCTCCTGTGCCCTCGCGCTCACCCCGCGGGCTTCCAGGGTTAGGTGAGGGCTGCACCCCCGACGTCGGGGGCTCCTGAATCTTATCTCGCGGAAACGTTCATAGTCGTGAGGCCCTGGAGACAGCCCCAACGTGCCGCCAGCGCTCTGAGTGCCGGGGGAAGGGCTGGAAAGTGCTTGGCGGAGCCAGGAGCCATAGCTGTCAGCGGGGGCCGCAGCCGGAACCGGCCTGAACGCTGCTGGGATTACTGGCATTCCGTGGAAACATTGTCCGCAGAGGAAAGGGGCCCTTGCGGGTCTGTGTGGGGATATGAGGAGGACCCTGGGGGCGGGGGGGCCGGGAAGAGCAGGGGCCAGCCCCAGCCCCGTCACTTCCTTGCAGCGTGGCCTGGGGCAAAGCAGGGGCCCCCCTGCACCTCCATTTTGTCCTCATCTGTAACAGATCAGAGTAGCTTATGGCCACGTTTGGGAATTAACAAGGCTGTACTTGCAGTCCTGAGGCGAGGGATCAGCACACAGTAGGCGCTCAGGAGGAACAGCCGTGGGGGTTTTGAATAACGTGGACAAATGGAAACAGTTGGACGTGATGAGGGAGCGCAGGTGGAGCACTGGCACCACATTTACATTCCTGAAAAATGACCCGGTGAACGGCTGGTGCAGGAGACCACCCCCCCCCCCCCCCCCCCCCCCCCCCCCCCCCCCCCCCCCCCCCCCCCCCCCCCCCCCCCGATCTAAAGCCTCGGAAAACACCTGGTTTGTTTGGATTCCCAGATCGCTTCTCGGCCTTTTGGCTAAGATCAAGTGTTTAGACTCCTGGATTTCCATGTGGCCGTCAGCTCACGGGAGCTGCTTCTTCCTCACTTGTCAGGACCCTTCTCTAACCAAGGGGATTAGCCCAGGCTGAGGTGGGGAGGGGATCTGCAGACCGAACAGGTGGGGCCTGGCATTGGAAGTCTGAGCCGCATTCCAGGGATTCCTGCTAGGCTACCCGCCCAGCCCGGCCTGGGGAGCCAGACTGGTGCCCAGCACTCAGCACCACATGGCGGGGGCCCTCCCCAGAGTAGGGTGGAAGCTAAGAGCAGACAGATTTGGCTGTAGGGGCTTTGGAGCGAGGTAGGTTAGGCTTCAGTCCATCAGGAAGTGAAAGTGAATATTCCAGGCTTCGTTAGTTCAGAGGGTCTTTATTTGGTACCTACTGAGTGCCCCTCCCAGCAGGCACTGCGGCCCTAACGGGTTGTCCCTGCTCCTATGACCCCATGTGAGAGCGGTGGGAAAGTGAACGGACCCTGATGAGGGCCACGGTGCTGGCAGGGACAGGAAGGGGCTGAGCCTGGTGTCCTTGAGGAAGGGACAGTGCAAGGAACCATCCTGGCTTCCGTGGGATGGGGGGCTGCTGGGAATGAGGGCTTTCAGTTCTGAAATCAGACGGTGCTAGGCAAGCTGGGCTCTCGGTCCCCCTCGGGAGGGTGACCCCAGGAAGGGAAAGCGATCCAGGGGACAGGAGGCTGAGCTGCTTCAGAGCGGGTGGGAGGGAGGAGGGAGTGGAGGACGGTGTCCAGGAGGCGCAGGCTGGGCAAAGGCCGAAGGAGGAGGGGCTCGGACACGCGGACCCAGTCTGACCTGCTCCCTTTGCACCTGCGAAATGGACCGGGGACGGAGACAAGGATGGTAGACAGCCAGGACGAGAAGCGGCTTTCTGGATCCTGGGGTTGGGAGTGGGTTTTCTGACTCAGGTTAGCTGAAGGCCCACTGGGACCCACGGGATGGTGGGCAAACCACCCGTCCGGAAGGGCCCCGGGCAGGGGTCGGGAAAAGAGAGGGGAGCCCAAGGAGGGGGAATAGGGACAGAAGTCTCCCAAACCAGCTACCCTGGCGCAGTTACCTGGGAGAAATTAACGCAAACCCCACTGACCTGGGCTGGTGGGAGCCTTGGGGGTCTCTGAGCAGTGCCAGCAGCTCCCTGGAAAGTGGTGGCCCAGCAGACGTGAGCTGTCTCGTCTGGAAAGCTGGTCAGCAGTTCCTGGAAGCCCTTTGTCCCTCTTCCTCCCCAACCCTCCCTCATCAACTGCCATCGGAATCGAAAGCCCTGGAATGGTCATTAAAGGACCAGTGCTTCCCCCCCTCCCCCCCCTCCGCCGGCCCTGCATGGAGCTCTCAGGGTCCCTGCCATGTCTGTTCCTCTGCCACCTCCTGGCAGGCCCTCCAGGTTTGCCAGCGCGCTGTCCCTGGTGGAATATTTATCACCGGTGACCAAATATGGTTTTTCAAGTCCTATAAGAAGGCGATGTTCTTAGTTTCAGCTCTGCCACTGTCACAGACCCTTGGGACACAAGTTGCTCTCTCTTCTTTTACGACCGTCGGCGCTTGCTTCTCACTCATTCACTCCTCCATCCCCCCAGCGTTCATCCATGTATCCTTCCATCCTTCGTCTTTCCATCTATCCGTCCATCCATCCACCTGCCACTGTGCGTTGCATCGTCTGCCGGTTGGGAGTTGGGGCTCTGCCTGGGGCCAGTACTGGATTCCACGGTGGTGGCTGCGGGCGCTTGGGCAACTTCCCCACCTCTCTGAGACTCGGTGTCCCCGTTGTGAAGAAGAATAAAGACACCCACTGCACAGGCTTGTTGTGAAGGTGCAGGGGATACCATGAACAAATGTACCAGAGAACGCAGCCCCTCGGTGCCCCCCTCCCTTCCTCCTCTCTCCCAGCGCCGCCTGCTGAGTGCTGTGGGGACCGGGTCCAGTGCGGAGGGTGCCCAGACAGGTTCAGACTCTCAGGTTGGCGAGACAGCCTTGAGAAATGTTGTCTTTTATGAAAATTGTTCACGGGAACAGGTGCATTTACCAAGTAGCTCCCGTAGGTCAAAGCACAGTCAATGTTCTGGGGGAAAAAAAAATCTCCAAAATGCTCTTCCTTTCTCTGTAGTTTCCACCTGTGATTTTTCTGAGCTGGAACACATTTCGGGAGGGAAATAAAAGGATGTAAAACTTAGACGACAAAGCAAGTCACCTGCTTTTTCTAAATTGCTTTACCTGCTGTGTTATTTGGTTCTAGTATTTTAGTTGTGACCACGAGGATTGATTGCAAGAATACTTAACAGAAAGGATTTTCTCATTTTCACTAGAAGGTTCTGTCTCCTTGGGCAAGACCAATTTACTTGGGAACCTGGTTTGAGTTCTGAGTTCTGGGATCTGGAAGCTTATCCGGCAGCCTAGAGGGTTGGAGGGTTGGGAGTAGTTTTGATTCAGGGCGGGGGTCTGGGGTGCACGTACACCGGGGGGTGGGGTGCTAGGCTGGAGGGAGTAATCCGGTAAACTTTGCCAGCAGATTTTGGATTTGGAGATGAGAGCACTGGGAAGCTGCCTCTGAGTCTAAAATCAGGAGCGGGGACAGAACCGAGTTGGGGTTTGGGTTCTGACTGTTTCAGAAAGGTTTGGAAAAGGCCCACAGGAAGGCCCTGGGGCAGGGATGGAGAGAGAAATGGGTGCCGAGAAATGAGACAGCTGAGAGAGAGGTGATGGCTGGGTGTCTGCGAGGGGCTCAAAATCTGGTCCAGGCGGCCAGGTGCAGGGAGATGTCGTCTTTCATCCCGAGCCGGTTTTGTTAACATCTGTAGTCACAGCCAGAAGGCTCGGTGGCACTGGGCCCAAGGTGACTAGGCTTCCTTGGCACGGAGATCCACACGGAGCCAAGCCAGGGCCAGAGACTCTGCCCTGCATCCTCCTGGGGAGGCGCCTGCAGACTAGCTCCTGCGTCTGTGACAACCGCACACTTGGTCCCCTGGGCATTTCCATATCAAATGCTATTCTTTTGTTTGCGTAGGTTCCTGAGACATATTTGGTGTTTCCATCTTTAATTGGGAAGTAAGACTGCACGTTATGCTGCCTGGGTTGGGGTCGTGGAGCGGGGGAGACCTGACCGCCTCCAGGACTGTGAGGCCCACGCGGGGAGCGGGGGAGGGCGGCGGGTGAGAATGCCCAGGACTTGGGACCCGAACACGGCCTCCAACAGGTTCCCCGTTTGCCCCAGCCCTCCCCTCGGAGGTTCCCCTTCCCTGTTTGTAACTTATGGTGACTCGCTGTCTGGGACCCTCACCGTGCAGACAGCAGAGCAGCCTGCAGGCGGGGCAGCGGGCACGGACCGTCCCTGACCATGGCTCCCTGCGGGCACCGGCACCCCCGGCCCCGCGGGCTCAGGGTCCTCGCTTCCGGGGCGGGGGGGGGGGGGGGAGGAGGGAGGGTGGAAAGGGTCCCCTTCGGCCGAGGTGCCGGGCATGCGTGGAGAGATCCGTCGGGGCCGGCTGCTGTGCACGCGTTTGGCTGCGGCTGTCAGGTGCGGGCGCGACGGGGAAGCGGCGCGGCCACCCCAGCAGTGAGGGTCTCGGGAGAAACGGCCGCCCCTCGACTCCTGGCGGGGAGGGCGCCGCTGCAGGCCGAGCTCAGGAGGTGAACTTTCGAGGGGCACACTAGCATTTTCCTGGAGGTATCATCATCCTTCCGTTTTTAGATTGCAGTAGAAGGACCTGCGTTGGCTAACTTTGAGGTTACCGCTTTAGAGGCGAAGGCACGCTCCATAAGCCGTTCCCTTTAAGGCGTTAGGCCTGCTCGAGGCATTCTGACCCTCGCCGCTCCTCGTAGTACCCCTTGGAGAGGCCGGCTTTGTGCGCTCGCCCCGCCTCACCGCCGCCCCGCCCCTCGCGCACGCGCAGGCGCACCGCTGCCCCTCCCCGCCCCCCCAGCGCCGCCTCGTCCAGCTCGGCCCGGCTCCCGCCCAGGCGGCGGCGACGCGACGCCCCGAGCGCCCGCCCCGCCGCCGCGGCCGGCAGGTAAGCGGGGCCGCCGGGCAGGGGACCGCACGCGGGCTGCGGGCGGGGGCCGACGCCGGCTGCGCCCCCGGGCCGCCCCGCCGCCGCACGTGTTCCGGCGGGTCGGGGTCCGGTCCTGGCCCAGCCCCGCAGGGGCCCTCCCCGTGCAGGCGCCCAGCGCCCCCACCGCCTCCCTTCCGGGTGCCCGCTCTGCGCCCCGGCGTCGGGCCCGGTCCCCCGGGGGCGGCCGCCTTCCCGCACTCCGCTTCCTTCCCCCCTCCTTTAAACGTGCCCCCACGAGAGCCCCTTGCGCGTCCCGGGACCCCCGGCGCTCACCCGAGTGGCCACTCCCCAGGGTCTCCTCCCCCAGTGGCTAGGTGACAAGCCCTCAGCCCGGGGACTGGGACTTACTCCTGCAGCCAGCTTGCATCTCCCCTGCTCCAAAGAAAGACCCCAGACCCACCGACGGGTACCTGGACGTGGCGCGCAGACTCGTCTGCTGTCCTGCAGAAACGCCCCCCCCCCGCCCCCCGCCCCAGAACCCGGGCTCCCCGGATGAGGGGAGAAACCCCCGCTCCTGCTGTAGAGCCTCGGACCACTTCCATTCTGGTGCGCCAGAGCCATTTTGGGTGATGGCAGAGACCTCCCTGCTAGCCTTCTCATGCCGGTTTCTCCCCTCCCAGGTCCGTTTCCCGAGTCCGTCAGGCCCTGTGGCAGGTGCTGTGCTAGACACGGCTCTGAGGGGGGCCCGACCCGGAGGAGGCAGATAGGGAAGCTGGAACGCAGGCCGGTTGCAGAAAAGGTGGGGGAGAGCCCCATTCCCCGCTCTTGGTCTGTGGTCTGGCCTCCAGCGAGTCACCAAGTTACCTCACCTGTGGGCCCCTTCTCGGGGTGGGGGATCCGGGAATCTGCATTTCACAAGCAGTTCAGGAGAGCCCTTAAGGTTGGGAGGCTCCGGCTTGGGTGGTCCGCTTCCTCACTTGGGTGAGGCCTGTGAGTGGTGAGGGGGGCAGGCAGCACCGAGCTGGGGAGGTGGGCTCTGAGCCGCCTTCTCTGCAGACCGGATTGCCTCCACCTTCTCCTACCCGCCTGTACCAGCTAGTCCCTAACCAGCCTCCCTTTGATTCCTTTGCGGAATCACCTGAGGGTTTATGGAAAATGCGAGGCTGTGCCCCCCCCCCCTTCAGTGGAAACCTGGGGCGTTGAGTCCAGAAATTGTAGTCTTAGAGGTCTCCCAGATTTTTTTGCATGGTAATGTTTTGCTAGCGCTACGGATTGGTGGATTGGGCCTGAGCCGGGAGGGGTTGGGGATCTTTTCTGTAAGATTAGCTATTGTATTCCCTGGTCCTCACCGGAGGGCTGGCGGTTTGCTGGAGTCACACCCCCCACCTCCTGGTGGGTCCCAATTTTTATGTTAAAAGGAGCTGCCCTGTTTTACCCTCAAGGGAGCCTCAAGCCTAGTAGCTTCTCCCTGCCAGTTCTCACTGCCCTTCGTCCCTCACACCTCTCTTTGCTCTTGCTGGTAGCTCTTCAGATGGTAGGTTTGGCAAGTCTTTCCCCCTCTCTTCCTTAGCTACCCCCCTCCCCCACCTGTCTATCTCACCTAGGGGAAGGCAGCACTTGGGTTAGTTGGCACGGCCAGGTTGCACTGAATTTAATCGCCAAGTAGCTAGCATTTGCCGAACACCAGCTTCGTTCCTGGGCGCATTTGTGCACCCTGCCCCTCCCCCACTCCGGTCCTTGGGCTTTGGGTGCTGCACGATCCATCCTCAGGCGTGCGCCCAGGTCCCCGCTACAGGTGACCGCCGGCGGCCACATCTGAGCTCTGCTCGGCTCTGCTCGGCTCTGCTGCATTGTAATTTCTCTCCCCTCCTCTGGGATGAAGACTTTGAGACGTGCTCTTTTTTGATGGCTTCCATTTTGCCTCAGTGTGACAAGGAGTCAGGCAAGCCTTCCGTCGCAAGTGCTAGAATTTACACCGTGTCAGCTCGTTAGCTGGACGGCAGGGCAGACTTTCCCGGAGCTGGACGGCCAGGCGTGTCAGCGAGGAGGTCCCGGTGGCTCCCTGTTTGAATAACGCTTTCCCTCGTTTTGGAGTCCCCAGGTGTGCTTCTGTGGGACGCGCGCAGGCTCCAGAGCGTGTTTCTGTGATGGAGCAAACGTCGCCTGCCTGCCTGCCGCACGGCCTGGGTGCTTCCACTGTCACCTGATTGAGCTGCAGCGCGAGCTTGCTTGCAGCGGGTCTGGGTGCACTTGGGGCGGCTGCAGCCTTGCGGGGTGGGGTGGGGGCTGGTTTGCACCTCCTGGTGGGGTCTTGTTGCCTCACCAGGGACACGGCGGGCGCCTTTTGTGCTGCCTGTGTCCCGAGGCAGCTTCGTGTCTGCACCTGGCACCCAGAGGCCCCGGCAGCACCGGGGAGGCCAGGACCCCTGGGGCGCTGTCCTTGGGTGTTTTCAAGCGTGACAGTTAACGCCCCTACATCACTTGTGAGCATTTAGCCGGGTTCCCAGATTTCTGCACCCCTGCAGCTCCGAGTCCTGTAATTTGGGTGGGTTTGTTTTTCTTATGTTTCAAGGGCTCTTTGAAGAAAATTGCATTTTGTTTGCCTGGACTGGGCCGCATTCCTATGGCCCCGGTAACAGTAGGGAGCACCCTTGAAGCTGGGGCCTCCGGCGCCATGACAAAAGGGGCCCGGGGCAGGGTGTCCTCGTCTGAGAAGCGGTAGCTCAGAGTTAGGGCCACGCTTTGCCCCTCACTTTGGAACAGCATGTCTGCTTCAGAGCTCGGCAGGAGGCTCGGGTGTTTTCTGTCCTTTTCTCTGAGGGTTCCGTTTTAAAATGTGCTTTGTTTCTGGGCCTCCGTCTCCCACTGTAGGTTTCGATTAGCAGACGGCTCTTCCCACTGTGAGTCGTCGCTTGGAGCCGTGAACTCTGCTCGCGTCTCCCTGCCCGGTCGGCTTCAGAGCCATGGCAACGGAGGAGAAGAAGCCAGAGACGGAGGCTGCCCGAGCACAGCCCACCCCTTCCTCCTCAGCCACGCAGAGCAAGGTGCGTCCCCGAGGGCTCCCCGGGGAACCGCCAGGGGCACCCAGGCCGGAAACGCTCCTGGGAGATGCTGCTACAGAGTCTGCCCTCCACCCTCGGTTAGATCCTGGTTTTTTAGTCACTGACCACAGGCCTCATCAAGTGCTTACTTGCCGAGCCGAGGCTCCCCGCACCTGCCCCCTGGGAAGAGGTTTATCAACAACGTTGGTCTTGGTCCTGGTTTTAAGATTCTGTGCGGGACCCACAGAGTCCCTGATTGAGCACCCGCTTGGCCCCAGGGATCTGACGCCCAGGCAGGTTCCTAGGTTCCTTCTGTAGATGCCAGGCAGCACGCGGGAGCCTTTGAGCAAGGCTGTAGCCTTGACCTTTGCCTTGGGGGAGGCTGCGCTTCCTGGACCTCCGTGCTGTGGCCGTGGCCGAGGGTGATTCCAGTGCTTTGGGGTGGGGTGAGGGGCGGGGTGAGGGGAAATTGTGAGCTCAGGCTGAAGCACGTTCAGTGTGAAAGGTGACTTGCAGAGCGTTCTAGCAGGCACTGGGAGTATGGACGTGGGGCTCAGAATGGCGGTCACGGTGGTGCCTGTTGGATGACTAGTACTGTCTCTTCAACAGCCTACTCCTGTTAAACCCAACTATGCTCTGAAATTCACCCTGGCTGGCCACACGAAAGCCGTGTCCTCCGTGAAATTCAGCCCGAATGGCGAGTGGCTGGCGAGTTCGTGTACGTATCTATCACCAGGGCCTCAGCTCGGGGGAGAATCAGTGTGGGCTAAGACCATTGCGGGAAACTGCGTGCCCCCTGCTGTACCTGGAGCCCTTTGCCACCCCGAAGTGACAGGGGCCTGGAGGAGAGGGCAGGGCATGGGCAGCCGGTGCGGCAGGGAACACACGCAGGGCTTCTCGGCGCTCACGCCGTTTCCCCAGGGCTCTTATGGGAAGCCCAGACTCTGCACTTGGGATGTCTGGACCAGCTCGGTTCCTTTGTCTTCCTTTCTTTCAGCTGCTGATAAGCTCATTAAAATTTGGGGAGCATACGATGGAAAGTTTGAGAAAACCATATCTGGCCACAAGCTGGTAGGTGTGCACCCCGTATGCTGAGACTGCCAGCCGGGGCGGTGCCAGCGGTCCCGGGGTGGGGGGCATCCCTGAGGCTCGGCTGCTTAAGAGCGAAGCTTTTGCCCTGAGGATTTGGAATATGTTGCCTCTTGATTTTTAAGCAAATACCCTTGCCCTTCCCAGACGAGTCTGCCTGAGCGCAGGAGAACGAGGGGCTCTGGGCCCCGTGTGGCCTCCCGTCCCTGTGGCCAGCGGTAGCTCGAGGGTTGGGACACGGGGCGATGTGCTTCGTTATCTTTCGGTGGATGTTCTGGCTTCTGCCGGTTAACTGCATTTTGTCCTGGCAAGGTGGTGACCCTGTGTTTTCGCTCCCCAGGGAATATCCGATGTGGCCTGGTCGTCAGATTCTAATCTCCTTGTTTCTGCCTCCGATGATAAAACCCTGAAGATATGGGACGTGAGCTCGGTAAGCCTCCCTCGGCCTCCCTCCCCGGGTAGCTTGTGTGCGTGTGGAGATGGGCATGTCTGGAGTTGAGTCTGGGGACCAGTCTGGCACCGTCCAGGGGGTGGTCCTGCGCGCCGGTGCATGTGCCCTCAGGCTGCCTCCACCTCGGTGTCGGTGGGCGTGGCCTGCTGCTGCCATTTTCGGAAATCCGCGCCAGGAGTGCCTTAGTCCCGCAATACTTGCCTTTAGGGAAAGTGTCTGAAAACCCTGAAGGGGCACAGTAACTACGTCTTTTGCTGTAACTTCAACCCCCAGTCCAACCTCATCGTCTCGGGTTCTGTAAGTGTGGTGCCTTCCGGGTGGGGGCGGGCTGTGCCTGACTGCAGCCTGGGGCTCGGGACTTGAGCCTCTGACTTCAGTGCTGGGGGACGAGGGGGGTTGGTGGTGCCAGGGCTTGGCTTCCAGAGGACTCTGCTGCCTGCCTGTGGGGCGGTTCTAACCTCTTCTTTTGGTCTTCAGTTTGACGAAAGCGTGAGGATATGGGACGTGAAAACCGGAAAGTGCCTCAAGACCCTGCCTGCACACTCAGACCCTGTCTCAGCTGTAAGTCCCGCCGGGCCCAGGAGACACAGGCACCCCCCCCCCCGCCGCCGCGGCAGGATGGGGTGATGGCCAGAGGGGGCACTGGGGACCCTGGGAGAGGTCTCCTAGCCTTGGGCCCATAGCACAGGCAGGCGGGGGGGCGGGTGAGGTGGCCCCAAACTGAACCCCAGATCAGGCGGCTAGGCCTGAAGCGGGGCCACGTGCTGGGCCGTGCGGCCTCAGAGAAGTGAGTTTTGAGTGGAGTTGGCTTTGACTTGTGGGGTGGTGGTGGAGGAGGCGGGGACGACCCGGGGAGCCGGCGGCAGGCTGTGCTCTGCGTTCACGCTGTGCAGGGGGAACGTGCAGCGTTCAAGGGCACGCCCGCTCACAAACCACCGTGCCTGAAAGCGGCCAGACGATTCCTTTTTTTGCCAGCAAAGAGCCTGGAGCTGCTTCTTGGCCAAGTTTGCCTTTCTTTGCAAAGGGGAAGGGACCGTGTAAACATTGTGCTGCTTTCTGCTGAGCAGATGGTCCTTTTCACTTTCTGAGATGGTGTAGGTGAGCGCTTTTAAAGCATTTTCCGCCTCGGGAAGGCTGTTTTGCCCAACCGAGCCCATTTGCAGAGCCCTGATACACAGAGGACACACGGTCTGCTGGCAGTGGCCCTGAGGATGTCCAGCTGGCGCCTGGGGCTCAGGGGAAGGTGGTTCGCCAGGGACATGGGCTGACCAGGCCCAAGCTCTGCCACCACTGTGGACTCGCGGTGCCTGGAGTGCAGACTCAGAGACGGGCTTGGCTGTGACCGAGGGAAGGACCTGGGAGACGAGTTGTGATGATGCACAGGAGCCGAAGGAGCTCTGTCTGCTATTCGGTGGCGGCGGGGGCTGCAGGCGGGACCCGGAGATTAGACCGTGCTGTGGTGTGTGAAGTTTTTGTTTCCTACTGAAGTGGGGAGTGCTCTTTAAAAAGAAAAAAGGGAGCAGCCTGGGTGGCTCAGTCGGTTGAACGTCACTTCGGCTCAGGTCATGATCTCATGGTTTGTGGGTCTTGAGCCCCGCATCGGGCTCTGTGCTGACAGCTTAGAGCCTGGAGCTGCTTTGGATTCTGTGTCTCCCTCTCTCTCTGACCCTCCCCTGCTCACGCTGTGAGTCTTTCTCTCTTTCTCAGAAAAAAAAAGGGCAAACAAAGGCAGCAAGTAGAGAATCAGAGAATCAGAGACTCCTGAGGGCTCACCCTCCAGGGTCCGCTGCTCACGGCTTCTCTGCCCTCTGAGGTGTTTCGGGTTTTTAACTACATATTTCCCAACATTCTCCCTTGAGTAGTGGTGGGGGTGGCCCGCCACCGCGCTGCAGCAGTCCGCCCACTTGGAAGGGTTCCTTGGGCGGCTGTGGCGTCCATGCCTGGACCCTGGGGCCTCGGGCCTGGGGGGTCTCGGGCCTGGGGGTCCTCGGGCCTGGGGGGTCTCGGGCCTGGGGGGGCCTCAGGCCTGGGGCGCCTTGAGGGCAGCGGACCCTCCCCAGGCACTTGTAAGTCGCACTTGACCCTGAGGAGTGTGGTGGGTGTGTTGAGCCAGCCTAGCACGCTTGCGTGATGCTCCTGTAGGGTGGACTTGAGGCGACGGCGTGTGAAGGCTCTGCAGCCCTTGGGGACGCGCGTCAGCTCGTCCGTGTCTGGCACAGCGGGTTTTGGTAGAATGTTTTGTGAATCCAAAGACAGGTACAAACGGTGTTGGACAGACTGCCGTGAGGTTTCAAGTGACCTTGAGGGGCTCGCGCGCGAGTGCTTACGGTCAAGTAGCTGACGCCCCGGCTCCTGGTCCTCTCAGGTGCCTAGGGACCTCACGGGACCGAGTGGGCCTGCGCAGAGGCCGCCCACCGCGCATGGCAGTCTCGCTGTGAGCCCAGGTCACGTGGCACCTTGACAACTCTACTCTTCGTCTTCGAGGACGTGATGTGACGCGCGGGCGCGGGCCGTGCCTTGCTGGTGACTTTCAGTACTGCGCGTGTGCTGAGGTGATCCCTTAGCTGCGTTGAGGTCATTTCCCCTGTTACTTTCCTGCGGCAGCTGCTGGAGCGTAAAGGAATCTGCGTGGCGGGCGGGGCTCCTGGACGGAGGCGCGGGGTCGTCCGCGTATCCTGGCCCAGGGTCCCAGGGTCGTCCACAGCCGCTGAGAACGTGTCAGCAGGTGCTGGGTCGGAACTTTGTTTCACAAGCTGTCGTGGGGCGCTTGGACTTGCCCCCAGGGGGCACCCAGCAGAGTCTGGGGATTGTTCCGGTCGTCAAAACTGGGTGCTACCGGCATTTTGTGAGTCAAGGGCAGGAAGTGACCACCGAAGGCAGCCCTGGAGCAGAAGAGCCGTGGCGGGCCGGGCAGTGGTGCCGGGCGGGGGCGTCACTTGGGGCGGCAGAGGCGAGCACGCGGCCCTTGGTGCGGCTCTGTGTCCTGTAGAAAGCATCCGGCAGACAGCAGAGACGGGACCGCCTGCGACAGGTGTGAACTGACGTCACGGGTCCTTTAGTCCCCCCAGGGCTCAACTGGAAAAAAGCAGGAAAGAAAAGCACAAATATCAGACAGTTGTCAGGTTGCCATTTCTTTCCGTGAAGGCGAGTGTCGCTGCTCTGGGAGGGCGGGGTCAGAAGGTGTCGGAGGGGGGTCGGACCAGCAGATAACGGGCTCAGGCGCCCGGTTCTCGCGTGGGCAGCGCACTGCGCCCCTGCGGTCCTTACCCGACGAGTGGGTTTTCTCTCCTGGCGTTTCTGTCCAACAGGTCAGGGGAAGTGGTTTTCAGCGGTCGCCCGGGTCAGGCCGGCAGGGCCCCTCTCTGGCTCTGGGTCGTGCTCGTGTCTTTTCAAGGACACCTTTTGGAGTAGGTGATTTAGCTCCTTGACCCGCGTTTCAGTGGGGTTCCTTTCAAAGTTCGGTCATCCGTGGTGAGGCCAGGGGACCGTTGCTGGACACGCCAGGTGAGGTCACTCTGTCCGCGTAGCCTGTGTGTCGCTCAGTGTCCACAGGAAGTGAGGAGGATTGGGAGCAGGCGGTGGCTCCGTCGTCTGCTCTGCGCTCGGCAAGACGCCCGTGCGTTTGTGCAGGACACCGGTGAGTGGGACGCGGTCTATGTTCATCCTTGGGAAGTAAGTGTCCTTTTTCCTCCACTCTGTTCTCAGGTCCATTTTAATCGGGATGGATCCCTGATAGTGTCAAGTAGCTACGACGGGCTCTGGTAAGTGCAGAAATGTACCTTTTTCTCAGCATATATATGTGTTTGCTTGTTTTTAAATGTTTATCTTGAGAGAGAGCGAGAGAGAGAGCGAGAGCGAGCGAGCAGGGAGGGGCAGTCAGAATCTCAAGCAAGCTCCACACTGTCATCACGGAGCCCGATGTGGGGCTCGAACTCACGACCTGAGCCGAGACTGAGAGCTGGAGGCTTGACAGACTGTGCCCCCTGGGCGCCCCAGCAAATATTTATTTAAAGGCGCTGTTTTGGCCCCCGGGGGGCAGCAGTCACAGTATCACGGGGCTGTGGCAGACGGACACGCAGCAGCCCCTGCGTCGGTATGGACCGCAGGATGGGGGGGAGGAGGGCTCCTGTGTGGGGGGGGTCCTGGGGACGCGCTCCTGTTCAGGACTCCACTCCTGGTGGGCACGGACGAGTGTGCTGGACAAGGTCAAGGGCACGGGTGGCATGCGGACTCCGGGAGGACCGGCCTCCCCTCCTGAGTGGGGGGAGCGGAGACCCCACCACAGAGGAGGGAGGAGGCCGAGGGGATGTCGTCTCGTGTGGACCGTCTGTCCAGGCTGCGTGAACCGCGTGGGGCTTGGAACCTAAGTGCTGAGGAATCTTCCGGAGACGGGAGGGAAGACGTGGAAGTGAACGTTATGTAACGTGGCTGACTCCGTGGCGGGGGCACGAGTGTGGAAGGCGTGAGGCTGGGTCTGTGGGCGCCGGCGTCCGGGCTCTCCAGGCCGGGTCCCTGGGAGGGGCGGCAGCATGCAGGCCCGAGGAGAGTTGCGGATTCTGAGGCAGGGAGGCGTGCTGGGAGTTAGGCTGTGCTTGGTACGGAGGGAAACCGAACAGGAGACGGGTAACCAGATACCGTAGAGGTGAGAGCTGGAGCGGTGCTGCCGGGCGGTGGCCGCTGGTGCCCGCGGGTGGGCCGCCGGGCGCGACTGAGAAAGCCTCCCGTCTCTTGTTCTCTTTAAATTTTACTTATTTTCATTTATTTTAAATTTCTAACATTTATTCATTTTTGAGAGGGACACAGAGCATGAGCAGGGGAGGGGCAGAGAGAGAGGGAGACACAGAATCCAAAGCAGCTCCAGGCTCCGAGCTGTCAGCACAGAGCCCAATGTGGGGCTCGAACCCATGGTCCTCGAGATCATGACCTGAGTGGAAGTCAGACGCTTAACTTACTGAGCCACCCAGGCGCCCCTTGTTCTCTCTTCTGGTTAAAAACGTGTATCTTTTTGTTTGTTTCCCAAGTTTATTTCGGGAGACAGAATGGGAGAGGGACAGAGAGCAAGAGAGAAGGAGAGAGGTTCTCAAGCAGGCTCTGTGCTGCCAGTGCAGAGCCGGGCTCAGGGCTTGAACTCATGAACCGTGAGATCATGACCTGAGCCGAAATCAGGAGTCAGACACTAACCGACTGAGCCCCCCATGCGGCCCCCCACCCCCGCTGTCCTGTCTTAGAACAGAATTGTAAGAGGAGGTTTGGAACAGAAGCTGGGTGAATGGTGTTGGGCAGGCGCAGAGCAAGGTGACATCCACGTCCGTGGGACGAAAGGTCGAGCGACACCGGGAGCAGAGAAGCGTGGAGCGAGCAGGCGCAGCTCCTGGGAGGCCTGTGCTCCCAGCACATGTGGGGTCTCGGGCCGCATCGACTGCCCGCTGTCTGCGTCGCTCTTCGGAAGAACGTGGGGTTTGGCGGTCAAGAGCGGAGGCTACGCCCCCTCTCCCCCAAAAGGAGGAGGAGAGTTGTAAACAGACGGAGAAAGGGGAAAAAATGATGGGAAACATGAAGACCCAGGTGTCAGTCCTTAGAAGCTCAGTGAGGACGTGGTGAAGATAAGCGGGGTGCAAATGGGATGCAGAGTGCAGACGCGGCAGGTCCTGGGACGGGAGGAGGGGACCGCTTCTCTGCCCCCCGCCTCTGGGCGGCTCCCGGTGCTGGGTTGGCCGTGGAGGGCCTGCAGGTGGCCTGGGGCTGGCGTTCTGCCGCCCTCGGCCGCCCTCAAGGCTGTGGACGTGTTGGGACCACAGAGCAAGAGGGCGGCCTTGGTGTGACGCGCGTGGGGGCCTGGCCTGCCCCTCCTCCCCAGGCTGCATAGCGGGTCTGGAAAGAAATCCACGGAGGACACTGCTGGGCAGTGTCGATGTCGGGATCCCACGGAAGCCGCGGGTAGAGCCCACAGCGCGTTGAAGGTCGTACACGACCACGTGTGTTTATCGAACGGCGAGAGGTTGTAGTAATGTGATCGATGCCAGAGAAATCTGTCACCCGACCACGTCTTCCATGAGTGAAGGCAGACCTCCGTGGTTTGTCACTGGTGGAGGCCGGGTGGGGCCCGCCAAGGGCTGGCTGCCACCCCCGGTACGACTCTAGCAAAGAGGCCTGTGCGGCAGACTTTACTGGAAACTTTACTGTGTTTACAAGAAGCAGTAACACGCTTCTTGTAGTAAAGTCAGGAGCAGAACAGGCCCGCTTGCCTCTTCCCTCAGCGTCTGGAGTCCCCAGTTAACGGGTAGGAAAGTAGAATGAGCCGCAGGAGAGCTGCAGGAGCTTCCCCGTGTGGGGACGATCTACTTGTCTTTAAATTTTTTTTTTTTTAATGTTCTATTTATTTCTAGGAGAGAGAGAGAGAGACAGCGTGAGCGGGGGGGGGGTCAGAGAGAGAGGGAGTCACAGACTGAAACAGGCTCCAGGCTCCGAGCTGGCAGTCAGCACAGAGCCCGACGCGGGGCTCGAACCCATGAACCGCGAGATCATGACCTAAGCGAAAGTCGGACGCTCAACCGACTAAGCCACCCAGGCGCCCCCAATCCACTTGTCTTTAAAACTTAAGAGCCACTGACCTGGCACTTGACCAGCACTGACCCTAACCCGCACGGCGGCCTTGCCCCGGGACCTCGCCGTCCCCACTTGGCGATTGGGGAGCAGGGTCAGAACTGAACACTTCAATGGTTGTCCCCCCAGTGTAGGTGGGGAGGTGGCAGCTGGGACCCGCAGAACCCAGTGCCGGGGCGTCCCTCCCAGCAGAGGGACCTGGTGGGGCGGGCAGAGCGGAGCGGGTCGCGGGAGCCGACTTGCCGCCGCCCCCCGAGCCCAGTCCCCAGCGGCCAGTGACATGGGGCACCGTCCCAGACAGGGGCACACATTGGCAGGGGTGGGCAGCTGGGAGAGGACTTTGGGAAGTAACGTGCCAGCCTGTGACCCAGTGGCCTCAGTGCGGGGCAGGGGCTGGTATACGGGCATCTGCTGCTGAGGACGGGACGGGTGAGCGGCAGTCGCAGACCCGCTGAAGCTGGCCCGTGTGTTCTGGGGCCGCGGCTCCCGGCACCCTTTGCAACTAGAGGGATGTCCGGAAAGTCCCCTGTGCTAGTCTTGGGGTCTGTGAAAACCAAACCCTCTTCTGGGCGACTTGGGATGTTTGTGCCAGAAAACCGGTCAGACTCCCGGTGCCCTGTGCCACGGCCTCTGTTCCTGGTGTCCCCCGTGACCCCCGCGTGCCGGTGACCCAGCTGCCAGGGGCGGAGCAGGTGCACGTGCCCACTCTGGCCCCAGGGGAGGGGAGTTGCCCGATGAATGAGGACGCGGAACAGTTGAGAAAATCGGACGACGACTCGGGGGTCCGTCCCCAGGTGTTGGTTTGCCAAGGACCCCGAGCTGTCGGGCCGCTTGCGGGGCTCGTTCATACAAACCTGCTGCTGGTTTTGCGTTGCAGCCGCATCTGGGACACCGCCTCGGGCCAGTGCCTGAAGACCCTGATCGGTGAGTGCTGCCGCCGCCATGTGCTTCCAGGCTGGGTGTCCTCCGAGTGGCTGTCGCCGGGCCAGCTGCTGAGCTGCCTGCGTCGTTCCCCGTCCTCCATCTGGCGTGGTTTTCGGGAAGCCCTCTCTCTCTTTTGTCCTGGATCTGCTCCCCCTGGGAGGGACCCTCCCCTACTGACCGATTCCAGCTCCTTCCGGGTGGCCTCCGGCCCTGCCAAGTCCCCTCTCCAGGCTGGGCCCTGCGCCCTGTCCCCTGAAGGCCCTGGGAGTCCTTTGGACCCTCTGCCTTCCCTTGGCAGAGCCTGGGAGCAGTGCTGCCAGGCAGGGTGTATGTGTGGCCGGAGGGTGGGTGCTGGGCCCCTGCAGGGCCCCGGATCCCCGAGGTGATGGGGAGGGCGTCCTGGGAGGGTTTTGAGGAGCTGGATCCCCTGAGGTCAGCCCGGAGGGTCCCTGTAGTTCTGGGCTCAAGTGTGAGGTGGGGCGGATGGGGCCCAGCTCTGTGCTCCAGGGGGAGCTGGGCAGGGGCCCCGGGGAGGGGTCTGGCCCACCGACCCCCCCATGAGGTGCTGCACGGGCTGTTGCGGGAACACGTGTGGCCTGATGACGTGTGGGCTCGGGCAGCGTAGCCGAGCGCCCCGGGCTGGGTGACTTAGCAGAGACTCCTCCCCGCGTCCTGGGTGCTGGCATCCTAGAGCCCGGCACGGGCAGGCCTGGTGTCTCCTCGACCTTCCTGCTGTGTCTTCACGTGGCCCCTCCTCTGAGTGCGTTCCTGGCCCCGTTCTTTCTCCCTCGTACAGATGCTTCGGGTCCCTGCACCAGCCTCTTTTTAGCTCTGGCTCCCCCTGCAAGGCCCAGTCTGCACGCACAGCCCCACTGGCTGACCTGTGAGGGTCAGGACTTCCACGTGGGAATTTGGGGATGGGAACCGTTATGCCCATGACCGTGGCCTTTGTGCTTTTTTTCTTTTTTTTTTTTGTTTATGAGGTTTATGGTTTATCACCTTTTTGGTGCTATGGCCTTACACTGAGTCCATAGCATCTGTCCCCAGAGGCCTGGCGAGGCTACCTCTTTCTGGTGGGGAAGTGCCATCGTTTGCGCCACTGAGGCCACCTAGCACTTGTCTGTGTCAAGTGTCCCTACATTTATGTGATTCTCGGGGCGCCCTACCCCATAGGCAAGCGGGACACTGAGGCCTGGAAAGCCCAGTTAGCCGCCCGGCAGGGAGCAGGTGTGAGCCCGGACCTGCAGCCCCGCAGCCCTGCCCGGAGGGCCTAGCCCAGCCCTGCCCCGCTCTGGCGGGGTCTCGTGAATCAGGACTTTGGGGGTACAGACCTGGTACGACGGCCCCGTGTCTGCATTACGGGGCTGCCTTCCTGCCGGGCCCTGTAACCGGGGACGGCCCTGCGTGGCCTCACACCTTCTCGTGTGCTCTTGCAGTGTCTGCGGCCTGTCGCAGGGAGCAGCGGCCCCTGGCGCACGGGGGCCGGGTTCCTCGAGGTGGTAATGCACGTACCGCTCTCCCTGCTCCGGCACCAGGGTGCACGGCCCCGGTTCCGTCCCTCTCACCTGGTGGGGGGGGGTGCACACCTCCCAATATGAGGGTCACAGGTCTGTCGTCCGGCCGCGAGTGCTGGCCTCGTCCTTGGTGGCCCCTGACGGCGGTTCTCACCCAGCTCCCCGGGCCGCCAGGTGGGGAGCCTGCAGCCCCGAGTGCAAGGACGTGGCTCTCCTGCCAGAAGGTGGTTTCTAGAGAGAACGGACTACCTGTTTGCCCTTACAAGGTGACAGAAACTGAGCTGATTCACCCAAGTTCTCCCTCAGTGGAGATACTTTCCCAGCTCAGCGGGCCGTCTGCAAACCTTACTCCACGTGAGGGCGCTGACCCCGGGTCCACTTACCGACCCCGTGTTGGCGGAAGGCCGGGCGCCTGAGTCTGATTTGCCTCAGGCCCTTTGCTCCTGGAGCCCTGGTGGCAAGTGGGTTGTTGGGCCCCCGTCAGGGACCCGAGAAGCATCGAGGAGAACGGGCCGATGTGACCGGCACAGGGACGGGTGAGGGGAGGTGTCTGGGTCCTCTGGGGCCCGTTCTGGGTGGTGGTGTGGGCACTGGTGGCAGTGTCCCCACTTGGGCGGTCCTGTGTGGTGACGGGGCCGTTCCCGTCGTCTGCGGGGCACCGGCCCGTCGCTCGTGCGTCAGCCTGTCCCTGCGTTCTCCGTGCAGATGACGACAACCCTCCCGTGTCTTTTGTGAAGTTCTCACCAAACGGCAAGTACATCCTGGCCGCGACCTTGGACAAGTGAGTGTTCCCGCCTCCCCGTGGGGCGGGCCAGGGACACCTGTTTCCCACCAGAATCACACTCAGGAAGATGGAAGGGGTTTCCATCAGTACGTGGTCCTCGCGTTTCGCAAGACGGCCCCGTCTCTGCTGGTGGCCGGGTCTCAGGACTGAAGAAGGGTTTGGGGTCCAGGTTTCTCTGTGGTGACTCTGTGGCCAGGGCAGCCCCTCCTCCAGGCACCGCTGTCTGCAGGAGGGAGGGGACAGGTGGCCTCCGCGCTGCCTCTGTCTCCACCTGCGAGCCCGTGGGTGGCGGCCCAGCAGACTCTGGGGCAGGCAGTCCCCTCACTGGGCGGCCCACCAGCATCTTTGTGCAGCTGGCCAGCCCTCTCGGGGCCACGCCTGCCCCCAGGCTTGCTCTAGGGCCCCGTGGTCCGCACTTCTTGTCCGCGTCCTTGGGAAGAGTGAATTCCTACCCAGGGAGGAGGGGATTCTCTGCAGCCGCTGAAATCTGCTCTGGATGTTTCTGCAGCCAAAGCTCCCCACTGCCCTCTTGTAGCGGGAACGAGCCCCTTACCGAATCGGGGAGCCCCCGGCAGCCTCTGTTCGGCGGCAGAGCTTGGTAGTTCTTTGCTCTGTAAGCGTGTGGGGCTCTCGTGCGTGATGTCCTCAAACCAGTGTGTGAGCCCGCAGTGCCGGGCACCCACACCTGGCCCCTGGCCTTGCCCCGCACGTGAGCCCACGGGGATGCGCAGTGATGGCAGACCTGCCCCCGCGCAGGGTGACCCCCTGGCGTGCAGGTGACTCACCCCTTCTCTCTGCCTTTCAGCACCTTGAAGCTCTGGGACTACAGCAAAGGAAAGGTGAGCGCTGGGCGGGGGGGGCTCGCAGGGTCCGGGCTGTGGCCGTGGCCGGCGGCAGAGCTGAGCCGGGGTCTGAAGCAAGAGGGGCTCGGGAAAGCGGCCTTCATCAGGTTGGCCCGGTGCACGTTTCTCAGACTCGGGACTTAGCAGATCGCGAATCTGCAAGTTACAGCTTCGGCCGCGTGACTTTGCGCGGTATCTCTGGAGTGCTTTTCAGAGCTAAGGTTAGTCGGCCGCGAGACGCCTGCACTGCAAACGCGAGAATTGTCCAGAGTGCAGGGACTCCGGGACGTGTTGAACATATGGTTCTCTTGCCTTCTCAGTGCCTGAAGACCTACACCGGCCACAAGAACGAGAAGTACTGCATTTTTGCAAATTTCTCCGTGACTGGCGGGAAGGTGAGTTTTCTCCCGGTTCAGGAGCTTCTCGCCCTCCAGCCGTCCTGAGAGGTGACTCTGTCACAGCCCGGCTTACACGGCCACAGACGCTCCTCTGCGCCGGCGGAACAAAGCAGGTGCCTCCGTGACGGACGGCCTTTCTCGTCTGCTCCCGGACGCGTCCCTTCGTCACGGAGGCAGAGGGCTTGGGCAAGGTGCTCTCCGTAAGCGCCTTGCTGCTCAGAAACACAGGCGTCCTCCCCACAGGCTGCTCGGCGCCCCCCCACTTCCAGCCCGGGGTCCCGCTCAGGCCCACCCAGGTGGGGGCATGACTTGAGCGGGTGGTGGCGTTGGGCAGAGATGGATGTGACCCTGAGGGAGTGGTGATTGGAGAAAACGTTTCAGGTCCCAGGAGCCTCTGGCGGCCCAGTGCGGGCGGGGGCGGGGCGGGGGCGGCTCTGACCCGGCTCTCTCCGCCGTCTTCCCGTTCCAGTGGATCGTGTCTGGTTCCGAGGACAACCTCGTGTACATCTGGAATCTGCAGACCAAGGAGATCGTGCAGAAGCTGCAGGGCCACACAGGTGAGCTCGAGGCCGCGTGCGGGCCGTGACGGTCCCTGGGACGCCAGGGTGGTGGTGCGCCGCCTGCGACTGTGGTTCTTCCTTGTCCTCTGGCCTGGGCCGCCGCCAGCTCGCCAGCAGTTGGCGGGGGGCTTCGTCCGAGCTCCCGTCTGGCCTGGGCCAGCCTCAGCTTTAACTTCTCAAAGGCCACACAGGCTCCGTGGCTTCCTGTGCGGACGTGGCCCGTGCGTCTGTCCTGCATCAGGACAAGTGCAGGGCAGGGCACGTCCGCTGTGGCCTAGAGGCTGCGGCTCCTCCCTGCGCGCCTGCCGCTCGCGCCCCTCGGCCTCGAGGGGCCGCCTGTGCTGGTCCCCCTCCCTCGGATGGAGGGTCATTGTCAGATCCTTTAAAAATTTGGTGAAAGTGCTGTACTCTCGTCCCTTAAAGTCCCCTTCACCCACTGGGGACACAGCTCAGACCTAAAGTCCAGCTGTGACTTTGTGTGGCCGGCCCACGTGGCCCAGCGCCTTGGGAGCAGCCCCGTGCTTCTGTCGCTCTAGGCTCCTGCTGTGGGCAGGACACTCAGGCCCCTTTGAAGCCACACGGGAAGAGGGAAAGTTCTGGAATTAGCCCCAGGTGCCAGCACACGGAGGCAGGCGGCTTCCTGGTAGGGGCAGCGTGTGCCCGTTCTCAGCAGGGGTGGAGGGGCGGTGGGAGTGGGCACGTCCCCACAGCAAGGCAGGTGCTCCCGTGTCCCCCCCGGGTACCGCTGCCCTGGCCCAGACCCCGCCGAGCCGTCGCGGCTGTGCCAGTGCGGGCGCCTCCTTCCTGCCGTCGGTCTGGCCTCCGTGCTCCCTCGAGGCGTCCCTGGCGCAGGCAGCACAGGCAGCAGTGGGAGCATGACCCCAGGTGGCAGAGCGGGTCCTTGCACCCGGGCACAGGGCAGCTGTCTGTTCCAGACGTCGTCATCTCCACGGCCTGCCACCCGACGGAGAACATCATCGCCTCGGCCGCGCTGGAGAACGACAAGACCATTAAGCTCTGGAAGAGTGACTGCTAGGCGCCGCGGGGGCTGCCGGGAAGGCGGCCGGCCGGGAGCAGCGCGGCGTCTGCGGGGGCTCCTCCATCTGGGCCGGGGCGGAGCCGCCGCCGGGGACGACTTGGCAGAGGGCGTGTTTAGCACCAGAAGGTTCTACAAGTTGCTGGTGACATTTCTTGTCGATCCCTCTCACTGGGGAAGTTTCTAGTCTGTATTGTGTTCAAACAGAGTCCACGCAAATTTTTAATTTTTTATTACAGAAAGGTGAAGTTCAATTTATCATGAGTTGTGTTTTTTACCAGTAAATGTTCTGTACCTTCTTCGGTATCTTATTACCCGGTGCAAGCGCCGCAAGCCGCCGCCGTGGCCTGTCCCGCCGGCCCCCGCGGCCCCCACCCCCCCCAGTCTGTCCAGTAGCTGCTCTGGCGACGCAGTCCGCGGTTCCTGCTGCAGCCGTGCCCGGGGTGTTCAGTCCTTACGGAAAACACCGACCACTGTAAGGTTCTCCGTGTACAACCCTCTGTACGTGGGAGTTGGTGGTCCCCGCGCGGACGGCGTGGCCTTGCACTAGTAGCTCCCTGTGTCCCCCGTGTTGCCCACGTGCACCACCACGAGCTGTAATAAAAGGTAGGAGTCTGTACACCTGTGGCGACAGAGTTCTCACTCGAAGCCTGTCTGCATTTGACCTTCTCACGAAAAGTCTCCCTGGCGGCGGGAAGTTGAGGATCCCCTCGTCGCCCCCGGGAAGCCTGACGCTCCAGAGCGGGGCTCCGGTCCCCATGTGGGCCGGGAGCGTGGGGGCCCCGGAGCAAACCCAGGAAGGAGCCGGCGGCCCTCACGGGTGCCGTTGCATGTCGCAGGGGGCCGTGTGCACAAAGGCCGGGCTGTAGGAGGCCCCAAGGCTGCAGGTCCAGGCTCAGCCCCGGCTGGGTTCGTCCCCTCACTGCCAGCCCCGGGACCCGTGGGCTTCGTTGGGTTCTTGGGGCTTGCACGGCATGGGGAGCCGATGCCGCCCACCCTGGCGGGCAAGGGCGGGCGCCTCCAGGGTGCAGCTTCCTGCAGGGGGGAGGGGAGAGCGGGGGGGGGCGGTGCTGGGATCGCCAGGCCCGGGGACCCCTGTGTGCCACAGGCCCCCCTGCCCCGCCTTTCTTGGGTCCCAGGTGCTGGGCTGGGGAGGTGGGGGCTGCTGTCTGGCTTCCTGGCCCCCCGGTGGCTGTGGTTGCTCAGACGGGGGTGACGATGCCAACAGAAGGCATCTGGAAACAGGCTCCCTTCTGTCCCCCGTCCTCCCCCCCGGAGGCGGGCGCCGGGTGGCCCGTCTGTGCTGAGAGGAAGTGCAGTAAAACACAGTCCACGCTCGGGGCCGGGGAAAGCCGCTTGGCCGCGTGTTTTGGTAGGAAGGGCGGAGGCTGCGTGTCGCCAGCGTCGCAGAGCCCTTGGGACTGTGTCATTGGTTCTGCCGTGACCGCTCGGCCCCCGGAGCAGAGAGGACGGGGAGCACCCGCCTTGGATATAGTTTATTTTTTCTACGTTTGAATCTCTGTTGTAGATTTGTGTAAAAATACATTCTCTCTTAAAAATAAAGATTTTCACGTCTTGTAATTTTGTCCCAGAAGACTTGTTTTTACCTTTCTTAACAGGCAGCCGTTTGGGGGTGGGCGGCAGGCAGCTCACAAGGCCCGCTGCTCGGGCAAGCGCGCTCCCCAGGAAAGCTTGTATCGATGAACAACTACCTTTTCTTACTGTGAAAGTTAACTATTTGTGCTAATTACGGACAGCGTAAAACATAGGCAAAGAACATAAGCCCCCTGGATTCCTGCTGCCACTCACACTTTGGGGGATTATCTGCTGGTGGACTCATCAAAAATACAAAAGTTTTGTTGGGGACCGTCTCAAGCATATGTAGATGGAGGGAACATCTCCCTGGCTTTATCTTCCAGCTTTTTTTTTTTTTTTTTTTTTTTTAATTATTTTTTTTTTTTTTTGGCTTGAACTCATGACACCCAGGATCAAGAGTTGAAAGCTTCACCAACTGCACCAGCCAGGTGCTGCTCAACTTCAGCTTGTGACACATCTTGTTTCCTGTGTCCCTCCCGGGTGGTTTTATTAATCCCACGCATTTGATGACTTAGGCCGTGAACACACGGTGTCTGTAAAAGGTAATTCTCCAGAAGCTTTGGCACAGAACCATTTTCACTCCTAAAAGGGTGCGTGAGAGCATGTGAGGGGCAGAGACAGGAAGAGAGAGAATTCTAAATTTTTTTTAATGTTTTATTTCTGAGAGAGAGAGAGAGAGACAGCATGAGCAGGGGAGCCTCAGAGAGAGAGGGAGACACAGAATCTGAAACAGGCTCCAGGCTCCGAGCTGTCAGCACAGAGCCGGATGCGGGGCTCAAACCCACAAACCGTGAGATCGTGACCTGAGCTGAAGTTGGACGCTTAACCGACTGAGCGCCCCCAGGCGCCCCGAGAGAGAATTCTAGGCAGACTCCACGCTGCCAGCACAGAGCCTGATGTGGGGCTCGAGCCCACGAACTGTGAGATCACGGCCTGACCTGAGCTGAAATCGAGAGTTGGATGCTTAACTGAGCCCCCAGGCGCCCCTGAAGTACTAATTCTTAAGTATCGATGTCCAGCTTTCCACAGTCGTCTAAATAGCTATGTGTATGCGTAGGCACACACGTGTGCATGTTCATGTGTGTACAGGTGCGCACGCACACATGTTCACATGCACTTGCCCCACATGCTCATGGGCATTCATGTGTGTACAGGTGCACGCACACAGCGTACGTGTTCACATGCATGTGCCTCAATGCTCTCGCATGCACGGTCGTGTGTACACGTATGTTCACATGCACGTGCCCCACATGCTCATGCACATGGTCACATGCACAGTTGTGTGTACAGGTGCACACACGCTGCTGCCACACACAGTTGCACACGCATACATGTTCGTGCGCACACGTGTGCATGCTCACCTGTGCTACACGGCTGGCTGGTGTGAGCCAGGGCCCCAGCAAGGTGCGCACCCGCGCTGCTTGGTTGAAGTCTGCTGATTGTTCCTCACCTCGTACCTGGAACCAGTCCACGTGTCATCCCGGGTCGCTGTTTGCAGCTTGCGACTCCGCTTCCCCGAGAGCTCGGGCTCACCGTTGGCCCCACTGCTTATAGGTAATGCGGGGTGGGTGGCGCTGTTTGCAGTTTTAAAAAACATTTATTTTCGTGGGAGAGAAAGCAGGGGTGGGGCAGAGAGGGAGGCAGAGTCTGAAGCAGCTCCTGGCTCTGAGCTAGTTGTCAGCACAGAGCCCGACGGCGGTTCGAACCCACGAACTGCAAGATCATGAGCCCAAACCAGACGCTTCACCTGCGAGCCCCCCAGGCGCCCCTCCGGCGCTTTCAGCAGTGGCGCTGTGGGTCGGGTGGGTTTTCTTGAACTCCCTCAACACGATCCTGGGCCCTTACGCGAGCTCTTGGTGCCCCGGACGCGGACACGCACGGAGAGAGCGCCCTCCGCACGCTTCAGGCTGCCCTTCTGGGGATTTCCGTCCCTGGGGACTTGAGTGTCACGAAGTCAGCGTGCGCACGACGCCGTGGCACATCCGTGGGGCCTTCTCCCGGCAGGCGCGCGGTGCGTGGCCGGCTGCGGCAGGGCTGGCACGGCCGGGGGCCGGGTTCTGCAGGGGGGAGGCGGCCCGGCCACGACGGAGGGGGTGCAGCGGGCGCCGCTCAGGCCCCAGGATGACACCCGGCCCGACTTGGGGCGCGGGCAGGAAGAGCTCCGACTCCCGCAAATGCGACGCACACTCGCCAAGGGTTCACCTCACTCGGGCGAGGACACCCGTGACACGTTACAGGCGGCTCGGGTCGGGGTGCAGGCGGCTGGGCAGGGGGTCGCGGTGCGGCCTTGGGGGGGTCGGGGTGGGGGGGGCTGTGGGGGCAAAGCGGCCTGCGGATGAAGGCAGGGGTGCAGCAGGGCCGCAGAGTCGCCCCCAAAAACGTTGGTTAGATGCCACGAAGTAGGTGGCAATGCCTTAACCGTATGCGTGTTGTCAGGCCCGGGGGCCTCTTCCATCCTTGTCAAGGGGAGTGCTAACCTTCTCTCCTTTCATACAACACGCCCGCCCTGCCGGCCGCGCCGCATTTAAGGGCCCGCGCGCCCGCCGCCTTCCGCTCAGGGCGACTCGGCGTGGCGCGCCCCGCGCGGACACGCCGGCGGACGCGCCCGGCCTCGCCGCGGAGCCACCCCTGTGCACGCCCGGGCGCCCACACCCGCACACGGCGCTGCCGCGCGTGGAAAAACTCGCTTTTCTCTTCCCTAATGTATTCATCAATCCAGCCAATCAGAGGCTGGGAGGGACACGCGGAAGCCCCGCGCTTCCTTCAGGAAACCAGAGTCCCCCGGAAACAAAACAGGGCCGGCGCGCGCGCGCTCCCTGCAGCGACACGCCTACGGCGGCTGCGGGACAGAGACTCGGGACTTCCTGCGGAAATGGAAGCGGCTTGAGGCGAATCAGAGGACGAGGAACGAAGATCCGCTCCACGTACTTCCGGACGCGGCCCTGCGCTTGGAACTGTGGGCGTTCGGGGGCGGGGGCGCGCGGGGCGCGGTCTGCGCATGCCCCGAGCCGGGTCCGCGCGGCTCAGCGCATGCTCCGTGACGGCTGCGGGCGCTTCGTGGTCTCCGGTTCGAGCCTCGCCGCGGGCCGCTCTGCGCGCGTCCGGCCTCCGCGTCTCCCGTCTGCCTTTTCCTGGGGGTCTGTTTGGAGTATTAAATCCGATGCTCCCCTCCTTTCGCTCCCGCAGGGCCCTAGCCCCGGGCGCGCGTGCCGTGGCAGAGCGTGTGTGTGTACGCGCGCACATGTGCAGTAAGCACGAGTGACTGGCGGTGTGAGCTCTGTACACGTGTGTGCGGTGGATGCACGTGTGCACGGTGTACACGCGTGTGTAGTGACCACGTGCACCTGTGTGCGTAATGTGTGTGCCCACCATGCATGCATGTGCCCCTGCGCGCCCACACGCATGTACACCCGTGTGCACGTGTGTGTCCACGCACGTGTATGTGTCACAGGAAGGAACACAGACCCGCAGGGGCCCGCCCCGGGTGGCTGTGGCTGCGGCTGCGAACAGCGGGGTGGCGTTTCTCTGTGCTCATTTGGATGTCCGATTCTCAAACTGCGTTAGGAAACTCCGAAATTAGAAAACGTCAAATGGTGGGGCGCCTGGGTGGTCAGCCTTGCAGCGTCTGACTTCGGGTCAGGTGCTGATGTCAGGGTTCCCGCGTTCGAGCCCCGCAGGGAGCTCCCTGCTGTCGGCACCGAGCCCGCTTGGGATCCCGTGTCCCCCTCACTCCCAGCCCTCCCCAGCTCACGTTCTCAGTCTCTCTCAAAAATAGAATGTCTTTAAAAAGTTTCTGAATTACAAAAAGAAAGAACGTATTGAATTGTTATTTAGAAAAAACAAAGCTTAGTTTGTCGGTTAAGGCAGTTCTTAAGTTTCATCTGTGCCCTCATCCAGGAAACCCGCTGCGAAGGGGCGGGTGGTGGGTCCAGCCAGGGAGGGGGCTGCTGGGGCACCCCCTGCCTGCAGGCGGCCAGCCTCGCTGCAGCCTGCACTCTGACGAGAAGCTGGGGTGACCCCTTT